GTTCAAAGCTGCTTTCCTCAAACCTTTGTCTGGAGAGTTGGGAAACCTATAACTTTCAGGGGGAATGTGGAGCTTCTGTTTTGCAGAGGCAAGGCAAAGGCAGGCAGTAGAGCCTCATGTAGCCCACTGTTCAGCTCCGAATCCTAATTATAATCCTACTCATATTCATGCTCAGAATTGCTCATTCTCATACTCATAGTCTCATAGTCATACAAATACGAAAATTAATGCTACTTCGTAACCATGATTTTCGCCATTATTTAGGGGGCCGCCAGGATCAATCGGAGGGTGGGTCACTTGTTAATGCGAAGTGAACATTATTCATGAATATACAGATAGCAACCAATCTCTCCCCAACACGACAGAACTGTGACCAAGGAAAGAGCGATCTCGGACGTTTTATTTCAGTTCCTGGACACCACAGGCGACGGCCGCATCACATACGAGGAGCACACGGAGTCTAAGGGTCGAGGGATTCGGGCATCCAAGGTTGTAGGTATGGTTTAGGGTTTAGGGTTTGCCCCTACTGGGCCCTGAGCCTGTTTAGGGTGTTTCTGAGGCCCCTTCAATTCACAGTGCCCGTATCTATCTATATGTATACATACAAAGGGCTACATGAAGCATGTGCATATATATATATGTATGTGGAGCACATCTGTACATGCAGGGGCTTCCAAAATTAACAAAATTGGGGGGGGTTCTGAGTCTTCGACTGGCTTGTCCATGTTTGTATTCTCTTTGGCAACCCTAAACCTAAACGAGTGCTTCAGGAAGTTTGGGGCCCCTTTCCGAGAGTTTCCTACACTAAGTGTTCTAATAGCTAGGGGAAGATAAGTTGCGCCGCCCGAATCCACCTGAGCAAATGGTCGCTTTGGAAGGTTACCGCTTGATAACCCCAGTACGGTTACATTACTATAATGTGTTGCCCAGGGCTTATGCGAATTAGCAAGGCCTCCAACTCCAATGTCAGTCCATGAGTGCAAAACCCCAGCAGAGCAATCCCAGCAAAGCCAAGCTCGAAATCGCCGAGTCCTTCTCTTTCTCATGAATATGCACTGTTACATCCTTCAGTTTTGATTTGATACCACATAGCATGATAGGAGGGTGTTGGCGACCAAAACCCCCGGCATTAGGACCCTACAACCTGTAATTACGATGCGATACAATCATGTAGGGTCTTTATTTTCAGGGTTGTGGTTGCCGATAATATCTTGTTACCCGGGAACATGTAACATGTATCATCAAAGTTCAGGGCGGGCCTGGATCTTAGCAAAGGCTTCAGTAGGTTGCTTCTGCCACTGACCATAGATACTAAGTGCAATAACCTCTGTAGTCAGTGCGTCTTCAGTGTCTCAGCAGGCTGTAATGTAGAAGCCTGACTGATTGCCCGCATGCTTCATTCTCTTAATCCTCATATGAGCTGCGACAAAAATCTGGGTCATTGCGGTCCATATAGAACAGACAGTTTATCCGATGTGCCAGATCATGGAGAACGTACAGTTTATCCGATGTGCCAAGTCATGGGAGACGACAAAAAATGGCGTACTATATTATGTTGTTTGATGAGAAAATGATTTCAGCATAAATTAGATCACGCTACCGTGTTAAATTGGAGAAGGGCAGGCCTCTAATTGTAGGCTTTTGGCGTAACTCATATAACTTTGGCATAGTTTGCCCCACCAAGCCTATTCTACGTACTTGCGCTAGGTATCCAAACTAGCCCCAAGTAAGCAATATTTGCAGACTTACAGGCCCTACATGGTAGTTTCCCAAAATAGGGGAACCCCCAATATAGAGTCCAAAATACTACAGTCCTTATTATGAGGACCCCCAAAAAGGGTTCCCCTAATTTGGGGAAACCCCAAATAGGCACTGCGCATTTGCAGGCTTGGATCCCCTTCGGTTAGGTTCCTGCAGTATCCTTTTCTGTGTAGCAGGGCCCCTTGCTGCCAGAAATTGGTTCGATGTCCAAACCTGTTTCGAATCCCCCTCCCCAAAATACCTCCTGGGTAAGATTAAGGAGCATCGACTTACTATGCGAAGGGCTAGGTTTTAGGACTTGGTGCTTGAGGTTAAGGATTTTTGGTGTCATTCAGGGGTGCATCTTGGGGAATAGGCAAGCCATCCTTTCGTTCCCTGCAAAGCATCAGGTAGAAGCATGGGTTTGGGGTTTAGGGTTTAGGGATGGAGAACTTGTTATCCTTTAGCTCTTCACGGCTATCTGTGACATCTCAACCCAAAAACCCTAAACACAATTTGGCCTGTTCTTCTCATTTGTGCAGAGCAGTGTCAGGAAATGACGAAGCTGGTCGGCGTCGAAGATGTTGCTGGGCTAATGTAGACTTGAGCCTTCAGTGGCAAGAGGGCTCTGCCAGCCCCAAACCCTAGAATAAAGAACCTTGCCCCAAAACTTACTGGTTCTTGGTAGGGAATAAGGGGCTATAATTCCCGTGTAATCCCTAGATGATGTATCCCCTCTTCCAGGCTAAGACGACTGGCATTTGACTGTAAAGTGGTCCTCGACTGTCGGGGTTGGAGTTACCAAGCACCTGTTGTGGGCGTGAGCGCTTAGAGCTGGGCTTGAGGTAGTGTTACAGCAGCTTCGGTTTAGGGTTTGGGGTCTAGGGTTTAGGGTTTAGGGTTGGGTAGCCCCCATGACCCCGCCCAAACCTCTTGTGAAAGGAGATTGGGAGCTATGCGCGCAGTAAGTTTCATGAAAGGGCAACACGACTTCCCTGAATTGCTGGTCAGGTTCCACATAATTTAATCAACAGCCCCCTAAACTGCCCTAAGAAATAAACGGCCTGCAGGGTACCTGTCTAACGACTATTTTATCGGTATTAAGTTCCTCAACAGCAACCCAGAAATATTAGGGTCTAGATTTTAGGGTCTGGTGCAACCCTCAGTCCGAAACGTTTTTATCCAGATCATCCTTTGGCTTCGCGAGTTGCCGGACGAACCCTCAGCTAAACAGAACTCTTCTGTGAGCTATAGTCCCAACTCCTTAGAGGAGCTTATATAGGGGAGTATTATAGGGTTATTAAGGGGGGATACTAGGAATTTTGAGACGATAGCTCGCATGTTATCCTCGAAGCCCGGATCCCCCCACAAAGCACTGAACCCTAAACTCTAAATCCTTGACCCTAAACCAAAAAAGCACTGCAGCAACCAGGCCCGCGAGATTTTTGGCGATCCATGTCCGGCAGCCGGGCTGCAGGATTGGAAGGTTTTATATCAATCAGCCCTCAGGCTGTATATGGGGTGACATAAGAGTTTAGGTTTTCAGGTTTAGGGTTAGGGGTTAGAGATATGGGACTTTCCCGAAATTATGGGTACCTTCTTGCGGGTGTCCATGGTAAGGATTATAGTATATTGGGGTCCCCCTATTCCTGGTAAAAAGCTACAATGTCATGTACCCCAAACTTCTATTCTAATTAGGTAGGCCCCAGCATTAACCCTAAACCCTAAACTGCATAGCGTGCGGTGTCCTGTTTGTTTGCGCTTCACTCGTGCATGGTTGATTATGATGGTGCTTGTAGGAAATTTGCCGGCTTCACGTGGAGCTTCTCAGAGAGCCCAATACCCCTTAATCAAGGAATATATTCAGGAATATATAGGGATTGTGTAAGGATTCTATCGGGATAGAGGGTTATACATGGATTATATCAGGAATATACTTACATGGTACTAAGGTCCCTAATATGATTTAAGCTATATTCCTTGATTATAGGGTCTTGGATTCCCTGGATTCTCAACCTACCAGAGACGGCCATAATCTGGTTTCGTAATTCCCACAAATTCCCAGGACCCCTTAAGATTTCTTTCGTGGAGCCTACATATCCTTTAAAGCCTAGCTGTAAAATGCATCCTCATATTGTAAGCTTATAGCATGTGCATGCGCTGTCATGTCTCACATATCCTTCAACCCAAACCTAAACCCAAACCTAAATTGTATGTATCCTTATGAAAAAACCCTAAACACTGATCCCTAAACCTGCATTCTGAGGCTGTACATATTACAAGTCCTCTCATATCCCTGCAAAACCTTTTGAAATGGTTCTTAGATGCACTACACCCCAAACCCTAAACCGTGCTCCAGGTGGAGAATAATTTCAAGCCCTTCACATACACTGAATTCCTGGCCGCCTCTTGGTTCAGGATTATTTGTTAGTGGTTTAGGATTTAGGATTTATGATTTATGGTTTAGAGTTTAGGTTTTGGGGTTTAGGATTCAGGGGAGTTTGGGGCTTAGGGTTAAACAGGGAGACATATGGTTTGGGCATCAAATCAAGGTAATAATGGAGAACCACATAGAAAGCCAACGGAGAATGGCATGCAAACTTTGATATTAAAGCGGCTTATAGGCTCCAAAAGCTCGGTAGGCTCAGATAATATCTTGAAGTTCCGTATAGTTATTGTTGTAGCTCGCGCTCACCTACCTAGATTAAGGGTTTCAGCCTTTCTTTTCCGAGCAAGAGGAGGGGATTAGATTAAGGCTTAAGGGCCCCGGGCTGGTCGGGGCTTGTCTTTCCAGTTAGCATTTGGGAAGGGTTGTGCTAATTCTCCTGCAGCTGTAAAGCGGACCTATTCTAACCTGATGTTGGGGGCCTATAATGTCAAAGCCCAAGTTTCTTTCCCAAAGCAATAGACATGTACAGGAGTCTGGGGTGGCTTCAGGGCAGCTTTATGGGAGGCGCAGAAGGGCGGAGGTAATTTCAGTCGGTGGGGTTTTTCTGCAGGCAGATGTGACGTGCTGTTTTAGGATCCGAGTCTAAACCAACGCTCAAACTCCACAAACCATGAGGAGCAGAGTGCTGTAGATGCACGAATGAGAACCAATTTCATCTCCTCACCATCCTTGTGTAGCTGTACTACAAGATGCCCCACAACCCTTTTCCAATGCGCTAGGTTTACAACAAGCCGTGAACCCTGCATCTAGTTGTTGAGTTAAGTCAAGCCCTAAACCCTAGTTTCCTTTCAAATGCCCTAGTCAGCTACAGGCGACCTTTGACAGAAAGCAGAGCCTCACGAAGGCCGTGTGCAAAACTGCATTTGCGGCATTCGACCGGAACGGTGACGGTCACAAGCCTGCACTTGAGTATTCAAAGGCAACATCATCCGTAGGGAAGTGCGCCCACGACCTTGTTGTGTTCCCCGTGTACCCCAAGGATACGTGCTCATTACAGTACGGCGGGGGGTTCTAAGGACGGAGGTGCTGTTGGCACCGTGGCAACTTTGGGAATGGGCCAGTACCGGGTGTAGCTTCCCCAAAGGAAGGGCGTTTCTACAGGGAAGCATTGAAGGGGTTATTGAGGGGGAGACTAGGAGTTTAGACTATAGCTCATGTAGGGGACCCTAAACCCTAAAGCCCGAGGCACTATCAGCATGGCGGAACTGTCTTCGGGGCGCTTGCTGGGTCAGCTGAGCTTAGATGAGTTAAGTGTCACTCTCAAGCAGCTGGACAAGATTCTCGGTTGCAAAGGGGTTTAGGGTTTAGGGGTTTAAGATTTGGGTTGTTCAGGTCAAGGCTTCAGGGGTTTTGGGTTAGAATACTTGATAATCACATGCAAGAGGCTCAAGAGCTCACTTCAGCCTCAACCCCTTATCGCGGTCTAGGATCTATAAACCCTATGCCCTAAACCCCAACCCCTAAACCCTATACCATGGGGTTTAGATCAGGGCTTTCCAGCTGACGGTGTTTTTCGGGGTCCGAAGTCCCAAAGCCCCAAACAGTCTGAAGAACGGCAGGTGAGCTATAGGGAATATGTAGGGATAGTGGAAAAGAACATGGAAACTGCAATTTATGGTTTAGGGTTTAACCTCCTTAAAGGGGGTCATATAGGGGATTATATAGGGGACTACTATAGCGGTTAGTAAGGGGGATACTAGGATTTTAGACTATGGCTCATTTGGTTTCTTTACCCAGAGTTCGTGCTTCTATGATTCTGTATCCTGAAGCCCGGCTACCACAACCCTACACTGCGATAAGCTCCCAACCCCGGACTGAAGTTCTGCCTATCCCTGAGGTCCAAGGACCCAAATAATAGGGTCATAGGGCCCAAATACTAGAATATAAATGGTACCCTAAAGCCCTATTATTTGTGTCCTTGGACCCTTAGGGTATTGCAACAGTCTATTAAGCCCACATAGGCCCGAACTCCCATATTCTGTGCTCTCTTAGAAGAGGGGTCCCAAAAGCGCGCCCAGCTCTGAGGGGTCTCTTTTCAAGTCCCATAGATGAGAAGCGAGGAATGGCGACCAACAGATTGACTTTGGAGAGTTCATGGCAGTCATGAAAGATGACGATGCTTGTCTCGAGCATAGCTCTCACGTTCCCAAAGTTCAAACACTAACCCTAGCACCCTCTACCCTAAGCCCCTGAGTTCAGGTTGGATCGGCTTTGAGTTAACTATGAAGTCATGCTTCCTAGTATGATCTCTGGGACCCAGGCATGGCTGTGTAAAGGTAACCCATCCTGTGCTGGTAGGACTCTGTCGCAGAAAATACGGTGCTCTAGTAAACAGAGAGGGCATGCACGTATCTTCGCAAGTACGTAAAACTCACGCCGCAAGACACTGCCGCCAATACTCACAGTTTATGATATCCTTCTAGGTGCGCAGATCGTGGTGGATACGCAAACCCGCTGAACCTACATTGTCTCCAGATTGCAGAAACATGCTCCAGCCCAAGTCTGAATCGGCCTGAGTTCATGCAGAGTGTACATGCAGTGTTTACTGCTGTGGGGCCCTGAACCCTAAATTTTGAAGTGCTCTGAAAAAGAAGATTGAAAGCTAAACCCCTACATCATGTACGCACCCAAGCTAAGTTGCCATACTGTGGAAACCGTATTATTTCTTGTACGTCCATGGTGTGATAATTGAATATCAGTTCCTTAAATTCTTAAACCCTAAGCCCCAATCTACCCCAGACTCCATTTCATGTTCCATTTTCTGTTTCATGTGATTCTCCATTCTTACCTTGAACCTTCCATAACCCCTAAATAGCCTCTATATAATCCCGATATAACCCCCTATGAACCCTAGAGCAAGTCTGTAGCCAGAGCCCTAAATCCCAAACCCAAAACCCCTCAACCCTAAATCCCTAAAGCCTGAACCGGTAAGAGATGAGTCTGAGAGCACCGCTGAGGATGAGGACTAGTCCGATGCCTGGCTGAGCACTGTTGACTCAGGATTTGGGTGATTTGGGGTTTAAGGTTCAAGGTGGGTTTAGGGGTGTTGTGTCTATGGCTTATGGCTTAGGGGTTTAGGGGTTTAGGGTTTAGGGGTTTAGGGTTTAGAGGGTTCCCTTGCAAAACTGAGCATTAGGAAAAGGTATCCTTATTATGGTTTTTTAAGTGGTTACTGCTGAACCTAGACGAAATTGCAACAATTTCTTATGGGTTCCCCTACTGCCCCTCTCTGTGCTACCCCCTCTTAGATTCCCCCCTAATTAAGGTTGTTTAGGATAATAGGCTAACTAAGATCGAGTAAGGGGGAACCTTGGGGGGGGGGCTAGTAGGGGAACCCATGAAACCCGAAACCCTAAATTTCAGGCGGATGGCCCAGATCAAGACCGGAACTGCACCAGCCAAATTGGAACTTCCTGTACAGAATAAGATCGACCTATTACATGAATTGGTGCTAAGTGGGGGTTTCCCAAAGTTCGGGATACCTTTCTGGCAACCCGTATAATACGGGGTCCAGTATTTTTGGGGTATATTGGGCTCTCCTTATCTCTGGAAACTACCAAGTACAACCGGAGGGAGTCCGTGTTCTTGGGCTAAGCTCTAGGAAATCAACCCCAGACCTTCAAACCCTAACGCCTTTAAATCTAATTTCACTTGAGGGCTTTTGGGGTGTCCCCATAACAAGGACTGTGTATTTTGGGGTCTATATAGGGTCCCCTCATTTATACAAACTACCAATTGTAAGTCTCCAACTCAGGTCACACCTCTCAGTTGAGATAGCTCGTGATGTGCACGTGCCGCATCATTTCTGAAGGGCGCTTATTGCAGCAGCCATGGCACTGAGCAAGTCTCTGGCCGGGGACGTACGGTTGATGGACAGCATCCTGGGCACAAGGTTTAGGGGGTTTATAGGGTTTAGCTGCTATATAATATATTGTTACCGGAGGAATTATGGTATGGCAGTATAGCTAGGGGCATGCAGGGTTTGGTCCATAATAGTATCAACCGAACTTCCGGTTTCAAATCACGGGCTTTCAGCTGCTGCCAAGGAACTTGAATTACTCACTTACTGGTGGTTTGTCGGGGAAGGGAATATATTACAGGGAGTATATGGAGGTATCATAGTAAGATTAAGGCACTATAATGCACAAAGCTTGCTTTTTCCTGTACGCGAGTGCAGGGTTCAGACCCTGAATCCTCATTGGAGACGCAGGGGGCTTAGTAGATTGTAAAATGGGTAATATGAAAGACTAACCTCCATTAGGGAGCCTATAGCCTACTTGTAACCCACTTGCCAAATCCCGCGAGCTTGAACCGACCCTACACAGCTGACTCAGAAAGTGTGCTTGGTTTACGCGGTGGCCAATTTCCTACCGTCATACAACCTTTATTCACCTGATGCGATCCCCTTTCGTACCAGGATGTATTTGGGGGGATATTTCTTGCTAGTGTGTTCGAGGGAACTTTCGGTGGGAGGCATGCAGAGTTTCAGCGGAGGCCTTGTCCAGGATTTTGATACCTGAGTACAGAAATGTAGGGCCCCTTTACTTTCAAGGGGTTTTTTGGAAGACATATTTAGGGATGTAGAAGGCTTCAGGATTTTGGGGCGAGAGCTCCGGGCTTTGGTGGTTTGCTCATAACCCGCAAGCTGCTCAGGGGTTTGTGTTGAGGTTTCAGGGTTGAGAGAAGAGGGTTTGGGGCTTAGCTTAGCCCAGATGCAAAGGGACACTAGGGTTTAGGGTTTAGCCCCAAACCCCTAAACTCTAAACTCTA